TTACAGCAAGCCAACAGCCAACATCAAATTAAATGGAGAGAAACTCAAAGCAATTCCATTAAAATCAGGAACGAGGCAAGGCTGTACACTCTTCCCATACTCATTCAATATAGTACTTGAAGTTCTAACCAGAGCAATAAGACAACATAAGGAGATTAAGGGGATACAAAGTGGAAAGGAAGAAGTCAAGCTTTCCCTATTTGCAGATGACATGATAGTATACTTGAGTGACCCCAAAGATTCCACCCAGGAACTGAAAAAGCTTATAAACACCTTCAGCAACATAGCAGGATACAAGATCAACTCAAAGAAATTAGTTTAGTTTTTATTTTGTTAATTGTTTCCTTTACTATGTTGAAGACGTTCAGTTTGATGCCATCTCATTTACCATTGTGTGTGTGCGCATGTGTGTGTTGTCCTATGCTTTTTTTGTATGATCCTGAAAATCATTACATGTGCCCGTATTTCAAAGACCTTTCTTCCATTTAGACCTTTGATTCATTTTTAGCATCTAAACACACTCAGAGCCAGGGGTCAAGTTCCAACCTCATGAGACTGACTGGTCCCCAGAACTATTTGTTGAAGAGGCTGCACCTTTTTCAATGTGTGTTTTTAGCATCCTTGCGGAGAATTAGCTGGAAATGCATGTGCTTACTTCTGGAGCCTGTAGCAGGAATCTTAAAGAGTCTTATTAATAAAATCAAACCTGAGCCAGATTTTGGGGTGAACTGGAAAATCAGAGAGCCAGAACAAGCCACAGCTAACCTCACCTGGCCAACTTCTCAGCTGGTCTTATTTCCTCAGACTGGAAGCTTCTGTGTCCTCATCCCAATGGCTCTCAGCTGAACTGCTGCTCGAAAGCCTGAAGCTTAACCAGCTAAAAGCTTCTAGTTTCTGGTCCTCACGCCTTATATCCCTTTCTGCTTTCTACCACCACTCCCTGGGATTAAAGACTCGCTTTCTGAGATTAAAGGTGTGAGTCACCATGCTTGGCTGTATCCTTGAACAGATGGATTTCTGCCTCTGGAATGCTAGGATTAAAGGTGTGTGTTACCACTGTCTATCCTAAGTATCTAGTGGCTTTTCTGTTCTCTGACCCCCAATAAGTTTATTAGGGTACACAATATTTTGGGGAACACAATACCACCACATGGAACCTCTACACTGTTTCTTGGTCTATGTGAACATTTTAATGCCATCATCCTGTCTACTGGTTCTTCTCTCTGGCAATATGTCTTGACGTCAGGTGTCAGAAGGCCTTCTTATTTTCTTTCCTCTAACTCAAAGTTATTTTGACTCACTGAAGTCTTTTTTGTTTCCATATTCACTTCATGGTAGTTCACTCCAGCTTTGTGAATATTGCCTTTGGTAGTTTCATCATCATTATCTTGAATCTGTGTATCCTTTTATATATTAGGAACATTTTACTACTATATAAAGACCAATTCCAATTCCCCCACTTTTTTCCCATGTTTTCTTCTATTTCTTTAATCTGTGTTTTGTAATTTTCATTGCAGCCTTTCACTTCCTTAGTTAAGTTT